TTTAACTCTTCCCAGGAAGTAGTCAGAGTCCATTTTACAAATGTTTTACAACCCCTGAACTAAAATGTTACATCAAATCAATCACTTAGTTCATTTTTTCTGGTTTTACTTTGTCCTCTTTCCAAAACTTTGTGTTGATTTCTGGGTATTTTGTGTCACTGTGTATGTAGTTGGTGCCGATTAAATGATGAATGGCAGTGAAAACATTTCAATGATGACGCATCTCCTCGTTTTTTTTTTCTTTCTTTCTTTCCTTTTTTGTTTTGTTTGTAATAAAACTGAATGAAATGATTAAAAAATTCTCTCTGTGGACTTCATTGAGTAAAAAGCGCTTTGAGGCAACTGTTGTTGTGATTTGGCTCGATATGAATAAAACTGAATTGAATTGAAAGGATGATTAAACACAACACGTGCATTTAGAGTTCTGTGAAAAACGAAGGAACTAAGCCAGTACATAGCAGCCAGGTGTTGATAATTAAATGCAGTTGAATAGTTGTGATATAAAAGCAGAAGTTTTCACAGTTTACTGGTCTGAAACATTCAGCTGTGTCAAAAAAAATCAATAAATAAATGCCACGGTCTTACAGGAGTGACCATCCCAGTAAGTTCACCTTAATCTCAGACTGTGCAGTGCTCAAAGAAACTGTAAAAACAACCCAGGAGCTCCATCTCAGACTCTACAGGCCTCAGTTAGCATGCGAAATGTTAAGATTCAAGACAACACAATTAGGAAAAGACTGAACAGTTATGGCTTGTTTGAAGGACTTTCAGGAGCCTCTTCAAAAAAGAAGCTTATGTTTGTGAAGTACGACAGAGTATTAGCTCCATGTTAACTAAAACAAATGAGAAAAAAGCCAAAAAGTGGAGATTACAGTTGTCGTTTCAAGCCAAACAACTACCACGGCTCCTATACCCTCTACAACAGCGGTGCCCAACCTTTTTCGCACCAGAGACCGGTTTATGTCCGACAATATTTTCACGAACCGGCCTTTAAGGTGTTGCGGATAAATACAACAAAATAAAACCTGTACCGGTACTAAAAAAAAAACAGATACGGGAAAAGACTCAGGGAAACCGAGTTAAAGATAAAAATGATTAAAAAATAATGCTAAAACACGATAAAAAACATGAATTTCACGCCCGAGCCTCAACTCTCGTGGCCCGGCGCCAAACGACTCACGGACCAGTACCAGTGTGTGGCTTAGGGGTTGGGGCCCGCTCTACAAAATGCTTTGTTTAGATAAATTAGTGAAACAAATGATCGTCTGTCGTATCGTGTCTTGTGATTCATCATCCTCTTTATTGCACAAGGGTGTAACCATCAGCATCCTTGCATCTGTACACTGCCGGATATTTCAGTTTGTACAAATCCGGCCAACTCTTTCAAGTTGGGGGGGGGGGTCGTTCTGACCAGATGCAGCTTTCTGCACCATGTTTTCAACCTGTTTTCAACCTATGACCACAATGTCTCAATGTCTCTTTCTTGAAATTTTCATTTTATTCTGAAAACAATCTTTTTTGGGGGGGGGCTAAATGTGGCCCTAATACTCTTTTCGTAATGAAGTTACATCTGAACTTCTGGGACATTGTGAACAATGAGCAGACAAGAACAAAGTGCAGATGTTTGGCTTAATGCACAGTGCTTGGAGAAAATCAAACACAACATAGCAGCACAAAGCAACTGTCAGCACGGTGGTAGAGAGGTGACAGTCTGGCCTTTCTCTGCAGACACAGTTCCTGGGCACCTTGCAATCACCGAGTCAATCATGAACTCCTCCGGAGACCAAAGTATATGTGAGGACATGTAAGCCTATCTGACTGACAGCTAAAACTTGGCAGAAACTGGTTGTGCAACAGCACATCAACAAATCTACAACAGAATGTGAAGGTGTTGCAATTGTCCTGCCCCATCTTGTGTGTCAGATCAGTGAATTTTGGTCCTCTTAATACAATTCAGCCTCTCCAGTGGTCCTCTGCTCTCATGGGTGAACTCAGACTATTGTTGTCTCATAATTGTACTCTTTGGTCTGCCCTGTGGCATCAGTGAGCTTTGAGTACTATTATGTGGACCAGTACCAGTTTCTGCAATGCTACTTTTGACTGGAGTGGCTTCCATCTCACAGAAATTATTTCAGGGCAGGGATAGCTCAGTAGGTAGAGTGGTGGCCCCATGATC